ACAGATTCCCTTCTTATGGTGCAGGCTTTTACTTTTGATAAGATGGAAGGCATTATCATTGAAATGACTGACCAATAAAAGAGATCCTTTCTCGATCTTGATAGCTCTCTCATGGGATTCCTATTCTAACATGCAACTGAAAGCCGTATTGGCTGACAAGAACAACCCAGGGGAAAGGATCCAGTAGTTTCCATGAGGACACTACTGACTCACATTATCATCATGGGAAGAGACTCCCAAACTATAGGTTCAAAGCTAGTTATTCCCAATTATGAGATACTGAGATACACAAAGATACACAAAGTATTTAACACGGATCTTCTCAACTGTGTAAACAATGGTAAAAAAAAATCCAAAAGTACTTAACATACAAAGATGAAAAACTGCAGAGCAGATATTTCTGACTGCAACATTCTTTAAAAATCATCTGCATTTCCAGACTTTCATATGTATACAAGCCCATTTTGAAAGAATTTCAGAAAAGCACCATCAACTGTACAAGTAAGTCACTTCCACTGTTATTAAAGGTGGCCAAGAAAATGCTACAGTAGCTCTCTTTAATAGAAAATCCATATAACCAAATTTTAGAACTAAAAACATTCACATACATATAAATTAACACTGGTAGCTGTGGTTCACTTGTTCTTGAAATTTGAAGATGTTCTCACACTCCCTGAAACTCACTCTGTCTCCAATACAAAAGGGTTTCCACTAAGCAACTTAAAGCATATATAAACAAAATTCAACTTTGTGGAAGTCACTTCTCAGCTGTAAACAAACTAAAACGCTAGTAGAAAAGTCCTAACTTACAGTGCGAACAGTAGGATAATCTGAAAAAGAAAACAGCCCAACAATAAACAGTCTTGGACTCAGTTAACAAAAGGAGGTCAGGTGTGCAAGAATTTTTAAAAAGAAGAGCCTCTACTAGCTTTTCTTCTTGTAACTACGAGGGCAGTGACAGAACTACGACCACTCCCCAGAGCTACCTGACAGCAATCAGGTACTCCACTATCTAATACTGTGAAACCATTCCCTGCTTTTGATTTACACTCTGCTCCACAGCAGTTAGCAATCCAGGAACTTTATCCTCTTCTGAAAAATTTTTCAGAGACCTCAAAACTCGAACAACCATAAAAGAAGTCTTTCTGAACTAAAGTATACACTAGTTTGGCTCCTCAGATATATTAAAAAGTAACTGAAGGATCTCTACAACTCAGAAGCACTAATATGGAAATTAGCATAATGAACATGCTACAAATACTTGGTTCAGCTCTGGAAATGTCATATGTCTTGGGCAAGCGATATACTAGTTATCCTGAATTGATCATGTATATATTGAAATACCATACTCAAAAGAATGTACTTTCATTATGTAATAGGTGGAAAAAAAACGCTTTATTGTTGACAGCAATTTTGAGCATTTCATATAGCATATAGCACTAAAGCACACATACAATATATAGCCAGCCCAACAGCAAACAAAACAAGGAAGTACTGCTTTAAGATAAAGTTCAAGGGTCAGCATTGTGGTGTAGGGTGTTAGGCCACCATCTGCAATGCTGACACCTCATCTGGACACCAGTTCATGTCCTGGGTGCTCCACTTTTGATCCAGCTCACTGCTAATACGCCTGGGAGAACAGCAGAAGATGGCACTGTAATCCAAACCTGGATGGAATTCCAAGCCCATGGGCTGGCCCAGCCCCAGCTGTTGCAGCCATTTGGGAAGTGAACCATCAGACAGAAGATGTATCACTGGAACAGTAGATTTCAAATGAATAAATGAATCTTCTTAAAAATTACACACAATGGTTCTTACCTATTCCTATTTTCTTATGTTTTTTTCTTACAATATATTTGTTTGTTTGAAAGAGCCACAGAAAGAAGGGGAGAGACAGAGAGAAGCAGAGAGAAAGAGCACACGTGCACTCCCATTCACTGTTTCACTCCCTAGATGGCCCCAACAGCCACAGCTGAGCCAAGCAGAAACCAGGAGCCAGGAGCTTCTCCCGGATCTCCCAAGTGAGTGGCAGGAGTCCAAGCACATGGACCATCTTCCGCTGGTTTCCCCAGATCATTAATAGGGAGCTGGAACGGAAGTGGAGCAGCCAGGACTTAAATCAGTGCCCATACAGGAAAAATTTTAATTCACACTTTATATTAAAAAAAAAAAGCTAATAGCTACTATTGTTCATCCACCCTATTGCGGGAGATTATGGACAATGTTTTTTTTTTTTAACCAATTTTGCAAATTACTTTAAAAGGTCTTTGAGACATAGTTCATGATTCATGTACAAGGATGTTCACTAAAGCATTACTTATAATAGACAAATAAACAACATGTTCACTAAAGCTTAATAAGTCACAATACATTCTTATTGGACATAGTACGTAACTATTCAAAAACATGCATAAAAAATATTTGACAACTTAGGATATGTTCACAATATGGTATTAGGTAACCACTAAAAAATATACCATGTAAGAATAATAATAAAATAGAATAATATTGACAATACTAAGTTAAAAAGGATAGAATGAAATTATAATCCCCCCAAAAAACAAAATACAAAAAAAGAAATTACAATCCCAATGATAATGCTAGATAAATCCATAAACATCTGTAGATTGATCAATTATGGGAAAGTCACTGAAAAAAACCTCCAAAATATTTAAGCTAGACATTTCTAAACGTTGCTAATTACTTGTCAGCATTTTCCAAATGATCTACGGTTAAGTCAGAAATATTACGACTATATTTAATACATTCTCAAATTAAGAAAAATATGTTTATGATTTCATCATTAAAATTTGTTGTTTGTAATATAACCTTCATGCTTAAATAACTTATTATTCATTCCTAGTCTGAATATTTAGGTATGCTGGACAGGTGTCCAAATTTTGTGACATCAAGTGCTTGTTCTGTCACAACATCTACTAAAATTGGAATTAAATTTTGTCACATAAATATCAAACTAAAATTTCAAAACATTTTTCCCTTGACAGAATACTAAAGAGTTAATGTTCAGAAAAATCATTAACCTTGGTAAATTACAAAACTACATCTACATCGCTTCTCGGCCTTTTGGCTAAGATTTACCACTTAGCAAACTGGACATCTTTCTCATCAATAATATTTAAAATGCAAATTATGTGCTTCTGTGTTTTCAAGTATCTCTTATGACCTTCAACATTAACTTAGAAGCAAGCATGTTTATATTCAAAGGAAAATGTAAGTCTAAATATAGAAACTAAAAGTTCTATTTACAGCCCAAAGGCCAAGTTCTTTTCTTAACCTGAATATGTATGTGAACATAACAAACATCATACACATACATATGTATGTACACACACACACACAGAAGATACAGCATATTTTCAATTCTAAAGCACCTGAAAGAGCAAGGTGGGGGAAGGAAGGGAGGAGAGGGGTGCGTGACAGCCACTCCAGAAGTCTAGAAGGAACAGGATTACACACATTCCTGAGCATAAGACATCAGAGGAGTCAGGAATTACATCAGAACAAATTAAAATTCTGTTGAGCAACACCATAATTTTTCCTCTAAGTCCATTCTATCCCATGTGTGATGTCATTTAAAAATCCACCAACCAAGAGTGTTCCTTTCAATTACATCCACTTAATACTTTCTAATGGGATTTGTTTAGGGCAATGAAAATGTGCCCAACCTAGCCAAGATCATAAAGCAATAACCTTCTCTTCACTTGACAACACACTTACTCAAACTCTAGAGTTAAAAACCAATCAGGAAACGGATTGTTGTATAGAAGAGCCACAGATAAAGTTTATGACACCACTTACAAGTTTTCAGTCTAGTAAGAAGAATTTGAACAATGGTAGAATATTAAATCTTACATAATATCTCCCAGATGTGTTATGTAAGATTTAAATATAGTGACACTGTCATATTTAACTAATCAGTAGCATACTTAATATTACCTTGTTTACAAAACTCAACCAGTAGCACACTTACAATTTTTTAGAAGTCACGATTTTATCTTTTACACATGACCATAATGCTAAAACCATTTACTAGCATAATTATTGATTGCCTCACTAAAGGCCTCTGTCAGCATAACCGGGAGTTCTCTGTAGAAAGTGTCAGCTCTTACGTATCACAAGCAAAAATTCTAAAATGTGCTCATTAAAGGGTAATAATAACTAAAGTAGCAATGAACAAATGATCAAAGGGCCAAAAACTTGTAAAACTCAAATGCTCAGTAGCATACAAACTTTTTACAAATATTAACAGTCTTAAATATTTTTTGAAAAAAAAAATTCAGATTTTATTTTAAACTAAACAGTATGCTCTTCCACTGTCTCCCTACATAGAGCCAAAACTAGCATCATTTCTATTTTGCAAACATTCCCCACATTCATAATAGAATTGGTAAAAACCGGGTTGAAAATGTATTTACAAATTTTCGGTTCAAATAAATGCAGTTCCCCTCCGAACCGCATAAACTGCTGTTCTTCCTCTCCATAAACATAAACCTGATTCTAGCACAACCCTGAGGTAACAATCATAATCGAGAACCACAAGTGACAACCATTTTTCATAGAAAATTAAGCCCCCAGTTTCTCAAAAGAATCGGAGAAACTGGACAGTTTGAGGTGGGTACAGAAGCGCAACATAAGCCCAACACTTCCCTTGAAACTCGTGAGCTTTGGAGAGGCATAAAACGAAACCCTTCAAGAGTCAGGAAAATTAAACCTAGAACCCAAATGGCGCCCAACAAGAACATTAGATCGCGAAAATGAATATTGCGCTTGCGCAGCCACCGCCCCGGCCGCTGCACAACTGCAGCTAGAGCCCGACCCCGCCGGATCACGTGCTCCCATGCAGCGCCGCCCGCAGCGCCGCAGCCGCGCAGGCGCACACGCAGCGCCCGCAGCCGCCATACTGCGGTCCTGGCTCTCCTGAAAATACAATAGTCATTTCAGAAAATGTGGTGAGAACAGCCCTGGGGAATCCTTTATACCTTTCGGGGCAGGAGCTGAGGGAGGGGGAACCACGTTCCTTCCTACAGTCCCGTCCCGCGCAGCCGTCCCCCACGCTGCCGCCGGTCTTGCGCGCTCCAGTCGCCGCGCTGCCGCCGCCACTGCCGCCGCCACTGCCGCCGCCTCCGCAGATTCAAAAACAAACCCGCTTCTCCCTTGCACGCGCCGAGGCCGTTATGCAAATTGTTGTGGGCGGGGCTCCGCGGTCGTCCTGGCGGCCACGCCCACCGTGCGAGCAGCCAATAAGCGCGCGGTCTCTCCCTTTCCCCATGCAAATCTCCTGGTTTTTTATTTGAATGAGGGCCTTTGGCCCCGCCCCCGGCCCGGGAAAAAGGAGCGCAGCCCGAGGTGCTGTCGCTGCGCCTTGCAGCGGCGCTGTGGCGATAGCTTGGGAGCCGCTGCCCAGGGCGGTGAGGAGCACTTGAGGAGCGCCCTCTATGCGACTGGGTAAAGAAGGAAGTTCAGTAAGAGAGTTAAAAAGAGCTGAGAGAAACTGTTTCTGGAAAAGGCTGGAGTATCGTGATGAAGTCCTGGTTGACAAAGTACACTGGAACCGTGTTAGTCCTCAAGGAATGGAGGAAACATCTTTATGTGACTCTGTCGCACAGGAAGCGCATGTACCTCGTCCCACCGGAAGTTGTTCCTCTCTTTGCTTGTGGTGTTGCCAGCCCTTCAAGAGGTGCGCAGGGTCGCCACCCACCCGCTTGGGACATTTGTGCTGTGTCCAACCTCTGCAGTTCGACCCCTATGAGGAATTTGTTACTCTGTTTGATAAGCGTTGTTCAACTCCTTAGAGAAGTCTAAGAAACAAGCAAATGTTTATGTACCTTGCAAAGCAAAAACAGCCTGAGAAATACTTACACTAAAGGTTCGGTTATCGTTTTTTATGTAATTTCCCTTACTTGTTATTTGTTCACCCTGTGTACACCAAGCAATTCCTGTGTTCCAGATATAACTTAGGTGCGTGTCCACAAGAATGCTCTACCTAATTGGAAAAGACAAGAAATGTTTTAAGTGATAAAGACTTTTCACTAATTTAGTTCACTCATTTAATTGATTACTTCACTGCATGTTGTTTGAAAGGCGGACAGACCTTCAGGTGCCACTTCTCTGACCACATGCCGACCACAGGCAGCAGCAGGAGCTGCAGAAGGCGCAGCCCGGCTTCCCTCGAGGGGTGCCAGGTGGGTGGCAGAGATGCAGGGACGCCGTCTTCTGCCTCCCATCTTGTCAGTAGCAGAAAGCAGCTTGCAAAGCAGGCTGGGACTCATGCCAGGCACTCGAGCATGCTATGTGAGCATCCCAGGTCTTCGTCACTATGCCAACACCTGCCCGGGCAGCAGACATCAGCATCACTCAGTTAATACTCATTTTTTTTTATAACTTTAGCTTTTGAATTTGTTTGAAATATAGATGCTCTTCTAGGCGTGTCCTTAATGTGGACATGGAGAATCAGAAAAGCCTCCTGAGAAGTCATTTCTAACACAAGGAATCATTTCATAGTTTTTAAAATTTAAGCTGAATTTTATCTTAAAAACAATGGGAATTCTTATATGATGTTGAAGTCAGAAAATAATACAACTATATTGCATTCTTTTTTAGACTTATTTACTTGAGAGAATTGGAATTATGACTGTTTATGAACTATACTACTGTAATAATATAGAGGATTTCAATATGGGGGAGTGCTTGGGGAAGGGTAGAGAAAAATCCCAGAGCCGATAGAACTGTCATAAAATAATAATTTAAAAAAAAAGAAAAACAGAATTGAATAAAGTTCTTAAGATTTCTCTCTGTATACTTTCTAAAAGCAAAAAGCTGAGGCCTTGAGTGAGGAATGGGGTGGGGCAGGGTGGGGCAGACTGGGGAGGGGTGGGGTGGAAATTCTCAAAGGGGTGGGGAAGGGGAAATATACAAAAATGAAAACAATAGATTAAATAAATAAAACCAAATAAAAAGCAATCCTTTTTAGAATGGTCTGTTCTCAAATATGCAAATGGCAAGAGGAGAAATAATTGAATATTTGCCCAATGCTTTGTCAGTTTTCTTTCATATATTCATATTCATTATTGGCATCCCTAACACCTCAAATATGGCAGTTTGAATAATTTGAATCTCCCCAGTTGTCCTCAGATGCACATTTATCATCTCTCTTCAGATGATTCATTGATTCATTCAACAAATGCAGAATTTCTAAGTTACCCACACATTCTTCCAGGCATTGGAGACACCCAGAGGAAATGACACTGACTGTAATTCAGTCACATATTCAGAGAAACATTACAATGTCATGAAGTACTAAGTATAAAGTATAAAAGAAATATAAAACAAGAGAACTAAAGCTTTCTTCATAGTATATGAGGCACACTCATAGAAGAGAGTATAATACTGTATACATATAAGTGACCGTTAAATGCAAGAGAAAGAGAATCCAAGTTCAGTAACAAGAAAATCCAAATAGAATATGAAATGAAACTGAATAATGAAAAAGGCTTTCCCTGGCCCAGCCCCAGATGTCCTGGCCATTTGGCCTTTTGCCTTTCAAGTGAATAAAAACTTTTATTACTATTATTATTTTTTTTAATTTGAAAGTCAGATATACAGAAAGGAGAGATAGATATGAAGATCTTATATCTGCTGATTCACTTCCCAAGTGACTGCAACGGCTGGAGCTGCGTCAATCTAAAGCCAGGAGCCAGAACCTCTTTCAGGTCTCCCACGCGGGTGCAGGGACCTTAGGATTTCAGATGTTCTCGACTGCTTTCCCAGGCCACAAGCAGGGAGCTGGGTGGGAAGCAGGGCTGCTGGGATTAGAACTAGCGCTCAAATGGGATCCTGGCACATGCAAGGCAAGGACTTTCGCCTCTAGGCCACCGCGCCAGGGCCAAAAAGTCCTTTTCTAAGGAAAAAAAAATCTGTCTCTTCTCTGTGCCATATTGTCTTTTCAATAAATAAATCAATCTGAAGAAGAAAGGAAAAGAATCATTTCTGAGGAGAGAGTGTCTTTACTGACTTGATGAAGAAAGCAACCATCTTGAAAGTCAGGACTAGGGCCTGCACTCATAGTCGCAAGGAATTCTGCCAACTAACCAAATGAGCTTGCAAACTCTTCACCAGAACCGCAGATAAAAATTCACTAAGATGCTATGTCCTGAAACCGAATCTCTCAACGCAAGGTCTGCTCGGAGACTGGGTTATAGCCCTGCCAACCTGACGTTATCTGCTTAGAGAAACCCACCAGTGAGTCCCATGCTTATTCTGGTCGCCGTCCTGACAGGAATGCCAGCAGGTTGCAAGATCTACGGCCTCGGCTCCCACTCCAACCCCTTCGGTTTTACCCGGCTGGCTCCGCCCACAGGAAGATGGCCCCACCCCGCCGGCTCCGCCCAGATCGGGCTAACAGGAAACAGGAAGGGCAGATTCAGGCGGCTGTTTCCTGTCCGGCCTGGGAGCCACCTTCTGTCAGTCCCTCCTCTTCTGGCCCTGCCTGACGACCCCAGTGGAAGTAGAACTGTAAATGGACTATAGGCCCTGCTCCAGCCACCTTAGTCTGAGTGGGTAAGGTTCTTCGTGAAGAACCGAGCCTCGGTAGTCAGTGTGTGGACTTTCCAGAAAATGTCGACGTCGTTCCTGGGGACGCCCTGTGCCTCAGAGGAAACCTGCGCCCAGATTTCAGTCACTGTCAAGACCCGCTTTCTCCTTGACTGGAGAAAGGGGCTGGGGCGGACAGATGGCGGGGAAACAGAACAGAGCTGGCGAGCCGTTTGCACTGTGCTAGTCTAGTCATGGCCCGAACATGAGGGAACCCTGCACCCTCTGTCACTGAACTCCTCACTCAGGTAAACAGAATTCCTGCTGCAATCTGAACATTCTTGAGAAGAAATACATCCTCAGGCTTGGTGGGAGGACTGGCGTTGTTGCTTGTTCTGTGTTTCAAACCCAGGAAGGTGAGCTAGGGGCCGGCGTTGTGATGAGTCAGGCAACCCGGGCCTGCCTCCTGTGTCTGAGGAGGGGGTTCTGGCTCCCAGTGCTGCGCTTTGCACCCTGCTCCCTGAAATGTTCCTGAGAAAGCTGCAGGAGCATGGGCCCCTGCCTTCCACATGGGAGACCGGGATCCAGTTCCTGGCTTTAGCGCAGCCACTGCTGGGGTGTGAGCCAGCTATGGAATCTTGATCTACCTCTCCCTCTCTCCCCCTCCCGCCCTCCTCCGGTCTCCCTCTCCCCTCCAGCCTTATCCTGTCTCTCTGCCTTTCAAACAAATAAGTAAAAGCTTACAAAAAAAAAAAAAAAAAGTCAGTCCTTGAAGGAAATGACATTGCATTTGTTTCCAAATTCATCTGCTTTGATTCAACAGACCACATCAGTTCATGAGGATATCCAAAAAATTGGAAGGTAGTTATCTAAGCCATTTGTAAAGGGAACAATCCAGCAGACCGATTAATTAACATCTATGAATTGTCCAGCTACATCAGTAAGACCCTGGAACATAAAACGAACTTGTGATATTTTAACGGTGCAATGAAAGACATTGATGGCCAGGGGGGAGAGGTCTTCACTGTTCACTGGGAAACGATCGGTGTTGCAGTTAGACTGGGCAGAGCAGCCTCTGCTCCCCTCGTGTGCGAGGCTCATGTATTTAAAAGAACAGAGGAATGCCTTTGTTCTAGCAGCTCTGACCCCCAGGCTTACCCTAATGGGAACTGTGACCTTGAGCAGCTGCTCTAATACTGTTACCAGCCTAGAACAGTCCCCAGGGTATTGCTTCCTATTCCTTGTTGCATGTCCTCCCAACAAAAGTGGAATGCTGTGAAGGTCAGTGGTTTGAGACACACGAGAGCTTTCAATTATGTTAAAAAAAAATTAAACCAAAAAATAACAGGTAAAAAAATTTCACATTCTCTTTATTAACACATATCCTACAGGTTTGTTTTTGTTTTGTTTTTGTTTTGCCTAACAAAATCACTTTCTTGTGACGTCAAGTAGATGTTTTCTTGCCTCTGCACGTTCCACTTTGTGATTCTGTAGATATTCAGAAACGTTGGGGTGGAATGGTAGAATCAACATGTCTGCATGGCTACAGGGGGAAAAAATTGGAATGTTAAGTAGTTCATATTCC